TTCCCTTAGCATAATGCTCTCCATTCCCTCCTAAGTTAGGTAGTGAGTTACAAAATCATCGCTCCTGTGTGCTGTGTGGTATTACATCGTGTGAATGTATCCTAATTTATCCATCCATTCAGTTGTGATTGGACATCTGGGCTCTTTCTATGTTCTGGCAATAGTGAATAATGCTACTATGAACATTGGTGTACAGGTCTTCATTTGTGCCTTAGTTCTAATTTTCTTGGGGTACGTTCCAAGCAGTGGAATAGCAGGGTCATATGGAATCTCTATGTCCAGCTTTCTGAGGAAATACCAGAATGCTTTCCAGAGTGGTTGTACCATTTTACAATACTACCAACAATGTATACCAGTTCCTGTCTCTCTACATCCTCTCCAACATGTATTACTTGCTGTTCTGTTAAACTTTGCCACTGCTACAGAAGTGAGATGGTATCTCATTGTGATTTTGATAAGCATCTCTCTTACTGCTAGTGATTTGGAGTATTTCTTCATGTGTCTGTTGGTCATCCATGTATCTTCCTCTGTGAAAATTCTTTCCATGTCTTTTGCCCAAATTGAGCAAATTTATTTATTAGGTTAGTTGATTTTTTTCCATTTAAATGATTTCATTGTCCAATTATAATTTGCTAATCTAAGATCACCTTATACTTCTGTGCTAATTTATTTAAATGATGTATCAGACAACTGCTTTGAAGTCTTAAATTTTTATTATGTTTCTGACTAAAATTATGCACTCAGAGCAGTTCATAAAATTTTCATTAATTATTTTACTCTTTAGAGTATTGCTTTTTTTTTTCTCAATTTGGTCAAACTTATTTTTTAATTATTTCAAGTATAGCGAATTTACTGTAATGGAAGGTGGTTGTCTAAAGACACACTCTAAACAATTATTTATATTAAATAGAAAAGAAATATTTGTTTATGTCATCCTTTGATGATTTATACTTGACACTATGAGTAATTCTTTTCATGCTGATACATAGTGAGCTTGGTGTGTGTTGGAGAATAAAATTCTATCTTCCTAAATTTTAATCCAGGTGGTGGCACAAGGAAAAATATGAGTGAGAATGTAAGTACTGAGCTTAAAATAGACACTCATTTTCCCAGCCCCTTCAGTGAAATAGTCAGAGCAAAGGTAGTGGAACACACAGCAGGCCACTTGTTCCTGTTGACTTAACCGCAAACAGTGGGGAAAGTGTTTAGCCGCTGGGGAATTCTTGTGATTGAACAAGAACGCAGGAGTTATTTTGATAAGAGAGAATAGTAATGTGGCCAAAACTGTGATCATCCCTGAGCTCTGACACAGGCCAAGGATGAAGACCTAAGTGTTTTTGTTCTTCCTGATGAACAAAGATAAATTCAGCTAGAAAAATAAACACAGCATTTTGGTCAATTTGCAACAATATGGTGAACTAACCTGTATATTTTAGGATTTGGCATGAGAAAGTATGGGAAAATAGTTCAACATCTCAGATTCTGGCTCAGTTTTTGCTGTATATTTGGAAACAGAGCAAAAATTAATGCAGAAACATATTTAACAGTACCACACCAAATGCTGTTAAATCCAAAAGGAAAATTGAAACTGAGGTAGGAGAGCAAAACTTTTTCTCAAGAGAGTTTATGCATTAAATCTGAAGCCAGTGCTTTCTTTGAATTCCAACTGGCTATTCTTAATAGTATTGAGGAGCTTTGGTGTGTAGTGTTTGAGATGCTGGACTGCTGTTAAGCGAAAAATTGGTGATTTGAATTCACCTGCGGCTCTGCGTGAGACAAGCTGGTCTCTTGACGATCTCTTCCTATAAAAGAATTTTGCTTCTGAAATGAATGCATTTTGCTGTAGAATTAGTGTGTGATTTTTATTATTTGCTGTGTTACTGTAGACCAAAATTGAAAAGCATCATTTTTTTTTTAAAATGGCTTCCCAAGTTTAAGAAATTTAACTTAAACTATTTAGGACCTTTTGTTTCTTTTTAATTTAAAGGAAAACATTTATATTAAAATTTAACAGCAATGAATTGTTTCCTGGTGTATTGTTGAATTGGTGAATTGTTTTTGGTGTGTTGGAACCGTAATGACTGTATTCTTATCTAGTTTAAATCAGTCATTTTTGTTGCAGTAAATGGTAAGAGCATGTTTTTCTTATGTTTTGAAGAGGGTTTTTATTTCACCTTCTCTGATTTTAGATGTCAGGCTAATGACATAGATTAAAATCATAGATCCTCTGCTTTGAAAATTTATCAATAAAGAAAATCATACTGACCATGTTATATGGTCATCTGTTAAGAAACATTTTATTCCTGCTATTGACTTGTGTTATGACTCCCTCACAAAGGAAGCGATATTCTGATATTCACTTTACATACACAATCGGATTTAATCTTAACACCTCTAAAAGAGAAATATCTTTATAATAGGCATAATGCATAGTAGAGAAAATCACTTGCAAGGTTAAATCCTTTGTCTAAAACCAGTTAAGTAGTGTCTGATGTCCTTAATGTTAAATCAGGTAGGATGCCCTAGTAAGTATATATAACTAATGTTTAGATAGACAGACAGGCATAAATATATAAATAAATATATACATAAATAAAATGTAAATAAATGGGTTTGGCACTGATTTAGTAAAACTTCATTTACAAAACCAGAACTGAATTTGTTAGCTGTAGCTTACACTTCTTGCTCCGTAAGAAACTATTTACTATTGTGTTCCTAACTTGTTCTCAATTCTTACATATTTTAGAAAGCTCTAGAACCATGGGCATACACTTTGTAGCTCTCATAATTATCTAATATGTTGATCAGCTTACACTGTGAAGAATTTATAAGTAATAACTGCAGTTTCTCTTTTCTCCCTTACCCTAGGGAGATTCTATACAAGCAGGTGATGACTCACCATTCTCTGATTCTGTCACCTTGGAACAAACCACAAGTAACATTGGTGGATCCAGTGGGCGTGTTAGTCTGTGGATGCAGTGGGTGCTTCCCAAAATTACTATAAAACTCTTTGCTGCTGATCCTGAAAATAAAGGCACAGGTACAGAACTATACTTCTTTTTAAACTATAGAGATAACATATTGAACATATTTCTAGAGGGAATATTACAGTTGTTTTTATTATTGTCATTTATAATGAAACATCATTAGATCAAATTAGATTATCTACTAGCAACACTAGTCTGCTGAACCTTGCAGGTGTTTAGGTTTATGTGTTCCTCCGTGCATACATATTCTCTAACTTTGTAATTTCTAAATTTTGTCTTGTTTGTATTAAAATGGACTGTCAAAACCATGAAGTTAATTTTCACAAATTATATTGATGTATTATTTCCTTGTCATGACAGAGTACAGCACTTCACTAATGTTAGAGGATAGCATTTCAAATATCATCTTGTATTTTCCATTTCTTGAAATGGAAGTTGTTCATAGCTTTATTATTATTATTATTATATCAGAGTAAAGCCCTTCACTCATATCAAAATGCAGTGCTCCCAACATTAAATGGGATTTTTCCCTATCTTGAAATGGAAGTCGTATATTTATTATTTGGATTGTACTTATCCTTATTATTGCTAAAGCTTCTGTGGTTAGTGAACAGGTCTCAGTGCCTCTAGAAATATCCAAAATACAGATGTGAAAGTGAAAGGTAGAAGTAAATGTATTACTGTAGATTGTCAATCCAATAGTGAGATTAATGTTTGCTTCTTATTTCAGAAGTTTGTGTGGTCAGTGAACTAGAAGATCTCAGTGCTTCTGTAGATGTCCAGGATGTATATACCAAAGTGAAATGTAAAATAGAGAGTTTCAATATTGATCACTACAGAAGCAAGTAAGTAATAAATCAAGTATGGTAATAGTTACTTGTGTTTTAAAAGTAATTACAGTGTAAAAAAATTTGTTTTACTCACTTCATAAAAAACTATTAGTATATTGTTTTTTCAAAGAGTGTTTTAAAAAAGGATACTTTGATTACTTTTACTTATGTATAGAATATAAAAACGTCTTGCTTCCTAAGGCAATAAATCCATTAATAAATATTTTCATTGCCATATTAATTTTAATAGTTGCCTTTTCTGGTAATCCTAGACTATTTTGTGTGCTGTATTTTTACTAAGATGCCAGAAGCAAGTTAATGGCTGTGGTGGTCACACACACACTCACACTCTCTCTCTCTCTCTTACACACTTGCTTTTTACACCCTGTATTAGTGCTAATCATACATTAAAATTGTAGGACTATCTCATGTCCATTAGCACTTTGAAAACTCTTTCCTTTCTTCACAAGTGTTTATATACACGTAGTAGTTTTTCATTCCTTTCTTAATAAATTTTCGTAAAAAGTGTTATGTATACAAATATTACCAAGAATTCTGGTGGCCTAGTGGTAAATATCTGCCCTGCACTCTCAAAGGCGCATGATTCAAATTGACCAGTTGTTCTGCAGGAGAAAGATGGACACTCTCGTTCTGTGTGATTTACTGCCTCTAAAAACACACTAGAGGGTCAGCTATGGGTTATTTCTGACTCGATGGCACACAACAGCAACAACATACAAATACAGTTAGGTTGTATTAATAAATAGTAGCAGTAAAGTGTTAAAGGTTGTGTAGCTTCACAAAGTTTTTTAATAGTTTCATTAATATTTCCAAAATTAAAAAAATTTCCATCTACTGTTTTCAAAATTGAAGTATGGCTTATAGTCTATGAAATTACGAATACTTTTAAAAATATTTTTTAAGAATGTTTTTAATTTCACATACTATGGTTTAGAAAATAGAGTTTCAATCTATTTCTTCACTTGCTCATCAATAATTATTTGTCACACGTATTCTTCTGTAAGTACACACACACACACACACACACACACACACACACACACACTCTCTCTCTAAATGCACTGAAAACAGTAATTTCAACAAGAATCTAATTCTTCAGGGAAGAAATTTGATTTTTCATCTTTTATCATCTGTAACCTGTTGCTTATGTTAATGACTACCATATCTATGACAGCTGAAAAATTGGATCTTTTGTGAAATATAGAATATTTTTTCTGGTTATGTATTAAGACATGTTATAATAGCTTTAGCTTATCAAGCAAAAATGAGAACTGTTTTTGTTATATTAACAGCAAATGATTAAGGGAGTTATTAATGCATTCGTTGGCTCTTTAGTGTTTTTATATGGTATATATATCAAAATAATTGAATGATTTTTTAGTATAATGTTAGAGTTGAAAGAATTTCTTATGATTGCTATAATCTGTATTCTAGTTCACTACTGTATTAAATATATAGAAATTCAAGGTTATGTCTGCTTTCAATAATATAAACAAAAATACTTTTTTATTGCCCATTATGTGCTAAGCCCCTATTTGAGTGCTAAAATAATGTTTAGCAAAAATACTCTTAGATGTTACATTCAGACTTTATTGCTTAGAAGAGGATATAGCCAATCAAATAAATTTACTTTGTCTTCAAAACATATGCTTCTGTGCAGGACTGCCAAGATATGTAGTTCTGTTATAAATTATTCTGTTGATTGAATTGTCAAATTTACCTTTTTGGTTCAGAATACTGTTGTTTATGTCATAACATTAGAAATAGCTATATATGCTCAATTTTCCAACTCAGAAAAATTGAAGAGAACAGATAAGGTGAACTTATGTTTTCCAGGCCAGGGGAAGGTTGGCAGTCAGGAGATTTTGAAGGAGTATTTCTACAGTGCAAAGAAAAACCTGTGGTGAGATATATTTAGTAATTATGATTTTTGGACATGTATTATAAAACTTCATGTGTCATGTGATAGGACTGATGATCACAAGCTTTTGAGCTCATTAGAGTGTATTGTTTTTGTTGTCCCTCCTAAATTACTTTGAAATAAATAAATGATTTGTAATGATAAAATGATTTTTTAAGTTGCTCATGTTTTGTAGTCATCTTCCTTTTAAAGCAATTATGGAAGCTTATCCTAGAAGCAAAGGTAGGAGTGCTTCTATTAATATACAGTATCTTTAATGTACTATTTTGCTACTGATTTTCTGGAGATTGTTCACATGAAATACCTATGTTTATACTTGATTTTTCTTTACCTTAAGCTGTGAGTGGTGATTTTATACAACAGTGTTCTGTTTATTTCCATTTCCATTTACAATGCTTTTTCAGAAGACTGATGAAACAAGGGCCATACCTTAGCAGTGGTTAAACTTTAACCTATCCAAAGTTCAGCAGGATTAAAAATGATCCAGGTTTTTTTAATTTTTTTTTTCGCTTATGGCTTTTATTGCTTTTTTGTCTTTCACCTTCTTTGCTCCTGTCCATCACCTCAAGGCTTGGGGAAGAGTGTTGGTCTTTGGGGCAATGTGGAGGTGTCTTCCTTTCCTGCACTGACAAGCTGAACAGACGCACCTTGTTGGTTCGACCCATCAGCAAACAGGACCCTTTCAGTAATTGCTCTGGCTTCTTTCCTTCTGTAAGAAATTATTTTTAAATTATGCTTCTGAGCTTCCATTAACAAGAACCCAGAGAAGGGATTTGAGCTATCCATAAAAGTCAACTCTTGATTTTCTTGTCCTATTTAATATCCACTTTGAAAATTAGCTATAACGTATTTTTAAATTATGAACTCATTTGTTGATTCCTTACCCATGCTTTTTGCTAGTGTTCTGTGAATATAAAATTATCTTGCCATCAACATAAGATCAAATTAGACTATTAAATATAGTATGTTTTTATATTGTGCATTTATTGAATGATCAAGAGTTGACAGTACGGCTTTTATTATTTTTAATGATTCTTATTGAGATTCCTTTTTGTTGTTTTCTGTATGTTTATGCCATCACTTTCTCACACCTACTTCAGAGTACCTTATCTGTTTCCTGTTTACTCTATACTGGTCTGTACTTAGGTCATTAAATGTGTACATGACATGCTAGGTTATGTAAAGCTCTGTCTTATAAGAAGCATATGACCTTGGTTATTCTTAGTTTTCTCATGGTACAATATATCTGCATATATCCTCACGCTAATTCTTTCAATTGATACTCTTAAAACCAACAGCACATGTAATTGTTTTATATTAAGAATAAATTTTAACATTGATAATAACTCATAAGAATGTATTATATCACTGCAAATATTTCTGTATATTTTGCCAGCAGGTATGAATTGTTAACTTACTTGTTTTGTAGATCAAAGGTACTTTAAAATTTATCTAAATTTATTTAAAAATTATTTTTAACAATATAAAAATCAATCAAAATATTTGAAATGTTTGTTTTTAAATTTACTACTTTAAATAGCAATTACTATTTTCTTCTTTGACTTTAAACTTTTTTCTAGCATAATCTTACTAAATAACTGGAAAAAAGGTAAAGTGTAGTTTTCTTGTCAGTAGAATTCTGCTTAGATTTTTTTTTCTTCTCTATATCTTCACCAGTATCCATAAAAAATAACTCTAACATAACTTATGAGACGATTCATTTTATATTAGTACTTTTAAAATTTTTCCTGAATTATTAATTTCCTCTAAATTTCTGGTTAAATTTCTTATTAAATTTTTTCCTGTGTTTCCGATCTCATCTTTTGACTAGTATAAGTTAATATTGCTATATGAAAAGTAATATCTGTACTCCAGCTAGTATTCATTCCACAGAGCATTTATTGTCCATGTTGAAAAAAATTAATGTAATAGTTTTTTACAATTATATATTTATGGAATTTACATTTTAATGCTACTTACATTCAATAGGAACCCTGCTGTCTCAGTGCTTAAGTTCATGACTGACTGATAAATAGAATGTTAGCATTTTGAACTCACAAGTTGTTCCATTGGAGAAAGTGCACTTTCATAAGGCTTTGCAGCCTTGATAACCCCATGAGGCAGGTCTAAACTGTTCTGTGCAGCCACTTTCTAGCATAGATTTACACTCAGTAAGCTTAAAATATTTTTCCACATGAAAATATTTATATGTTGAAATCACTTTCAGACTATACCCAGAATTAACATGTTACTATTAATTAACTCTGAGGGTAAGGAACTGTGCTGTTTTTAACTGTGCACACAGTTTAAATCTACCAGCTGCTCCATGGGAGAAAGATGAGCAATCTCTTCCTATGCAGTTTACAACTTCTGAAAACCTGCTGTGGGTTCTGATTGAAAGGCACATAACAACAGCATGGCTGTGTAGATTTGTAGTAGGTTCTAAGTCTCTCAAAAATCTAGTTTAGGCACCCATTCCAGGGTGGCAGTGCCCCTCACGGTGAGGCCATAGCACACTCAGCTGCTCTCTGCCTTGCCCGCTGTTGGCTTGCTTGTTACCAACATGTTGCAAGACCTGGGAGCATTTACTTTTCATGCATCCCTTAGGCGTTTTTTGTTATTGTTTTGTTTTGTTTTTGTTGGTATACTCTGATTTTATAGCAGACATGATTGACAAATTGAGAAAATTGACAAGCTAATGTTAACACAATATGTGTTAGCCTACATGATACATCATATGTAGTCACCAATTTATTTTTTAAAATTTTATTTTACTAATTTTAATGAACATGTACCGAGATTTTGGATTTCCATTCATTCATTGTTGCACTTTTTTCTCCACTCCCTCTCCCAGTTTGCGCCTCTCTTTGAAAAGCAAAAGATAAACTTCTTCATTAGTATACAATCCTCCCTCCGCCCCCCCCCCCAAAATGTAGAGAACAAAAGAAAACCAGAAAGGAGAAGTAATGAGAAAACTAAGTATAGTTAAAAACACTCATGACAATTACAGGAAAAATTAGGATCTTACACATTTCATTTAATGCACACCATTCCAAGTTCATTTTTTAAAAAAATGATCACACAGTACTTTTTCAAAAAAGGAAATGTCCCAATGACATCTTCTTTTACATTCCTTCAGTGTCAATTCCTGATTAAAAACAAAATTAACAATGATGACTTACTGACAAGCTTTTTTTAAAAAAAATCATGTTCTTATTTATAGGATGTTAGGCATTAGGATATGGAGTCAAAGATTTGTTAGTAATGAGATAATGTAGGCTCAGATGTCCTGCCTACTGTTTCCCACTGGTTTGGCATTTTTTCCTTTCCTCTGTTTATATAAATAAGTTCCCTTCTATTTCTTCTTCTCCAGTGTAATTCTTCTCTTTAATAAGTCTTTGGAACTAATAGCTCAAAATATTACTGTACCTAGAAAGAGTGATGGGGAAATTGGACTACAGTTCAACTCTTTTATGTTGAGTAATTAACATAAGGGATTTTGTATACGTGAATTATGTTGGGTAATTAGTATGGGGGAATTTTATGTGCATTAATTAGTTCCAAAAACGGACTTTCTTATATGTAGAAGAAAACTCAAGTATAAACTTTATTCTTTTAAAGATACACTTTTACTATTACTTGTTTAAGTATACAAGAATAATGTGAAAGTTAATGAAACTACTTTTATCAGAAATTTTGGTGTTACACTGGTATAAATTCATTCTCAATTACATGTATGTGTCAGAATTGTAAAAAGACTAGTAGTTAAGTTTATAAATGTACACATTTGAAAATGTAAATGCTTATTTTTGTGTCATATGACCATTTTTCTAACATGCATAGCTTTTGTGTCATATGACCATTTCTTCTAACATGTTTAACTTTGTTATGAAAGTGTGTATAGATGATGCTCTTTGTAGAGCTCTAGCTTTATAGAAAGGAACCCTGACATCATGTTTAATGCCTCACACAAGTGGTGCAAATTCACTGGTTTTCATAGGATAGAAGATGGTCAGGCTTCTTAAATAAATATTTATAGCCTCAGAAACTTGATGGAGGATTACTGTGTGTCAGACTTGATACAGAGGTGATGAATTCCTTTTTGGGGTTTGTCTTCATATTAAGAGTTCTCCGGAGGCTCTAGTTAAGCGCTTAGTTGCTAACTGAAAGGTCTCACCAGTGGAAATCCACCAATTGCTATAGGGGAAAAGGATTGGACAGCCCCTTTGTAAAGATTAGCAGCCTTGAAACCATGCAGGAGGGTTCCATCATTATGAGATATTTGGGACTGTGATTTTTTTTGGTTTTATTTCTTTTCTTATAATTTAGCCCAGTTATCCAAAGATAGCTCTTTGATAAGATAGCTTTGTTTATGTTCCACCTGAATAACCTAATGCCAGCATATTGATGTTTAGAAATGAAAACAAAATCTTCAAGTAGTCTGTATCAAGTTATTAAAATTACAGAGAATAAAGAAACTATATGAACAGACACAAAATATTAAAGTCCCTCGAAGTCTAGAACTTGAATTTAGGATTCCTACCTTAGGGTTTCAGTTTTGTTATCCTAATATTTCTGAGGTTTTGCCTCATACACAAAATCGATCAGTAATGTGGCCATTAATATGTGTAATGTATGAGATATGTATGATGTTGTTAGGTGACAAAAAGTTGACTCTGGCTCATAGTCTCTCTGTGAACAACAGAGATGAACCTTACCCTATCTGTGCCACCTTCATCATCTCTGATATATTTGAGCACAGTGTTACTAAACTGTGTTCATCTCTCTTACTGAGGGTCTTTCCCTCCCTCACTGTAAAAATACTAATAAAGTAATTTTCTCCTTTAAAATAATTCTTTTTTTTAATTGTGTGCTCTGCCTTTCTTTTTCTGAAACAGACTACTGCTAAACTTTTAGATGGTTCTCATCAGCAACATGGATTTCTCTCTCTGACATACACAAAAGCTGTAACAAAAAATGTCCGCCACAAGTTAACATCAAGAAATGAACGGAGAAGTTTCCATAAGTTATCAGAAGGTTTAACAGATGGTTCTCCTCATTTTCTTCATGAGATTCTTCTTTCTGCACAAGCGTTTGACATTGTTCTTTGCTTCCCTTTACTTAATGCCATTGCAAGTATATTTCAAACAAATCTACCAAAGATGAAAAAAGAAAAAAGAAAATCTCCTGGTCAGCCCATGAGGACCCACACGTTGACGTCACGCAATTTACCTTTGATTTATATCAACACAAGCGTGATCAGAGTTTTTGTTCCGAGAACAGAGGGAATACAGCCAGCTGTTAGAGGTATTGTCTTCTGATTAGTTTGTTTGTTCATTCGATTTTACATTATTTTCTTCTCGAAACCTTAGTTTTCTCCTTTTTTAAAAATATGGAAGAGTAACTTCCAGTTCGGTGTATTTTTTAAAGAGTAAGCATGTTATAGCTATTATATAAACCTCTATGAGATATGTCAAGAATACTGGATAAAGAAATGTCTGACTCTATAGGAAACATCATTCTCCATTAGTAACTAGAATAGTAAATACTAAATTTATTTTCTTAAGACTTTTGCTATTAAGGGTTGTACTTTTCTCTCATTTGTTTCATTAAAGTAAAACTGTTGATAAGATGTGTATGTATGAGAAAGAGACAGTGAGCTCTTTTAACCTGGTGGATAAGGAGTTGTACTGCCAATCTAAAGGCATGTG